AGGGAAACAGATGATCTCTCGACTCTCTAGCCAAGGTTTCTTGGACTGTCCTCTGAATAATCTGAACCTGGGAAACAAGACACTGAATTATCAAGACCTCAAGTCTGTTCTAGCGTGGCCATTTGCGTTATCTTCTTATGTATTTTAAAGTCCCATTTTTGGTTGAGGGAAGAGAACAAGGAGAGTTCTTGTGCATGAAACCTCTAGGTTCCTGAGGAAGACATTTAGTGTTAATGGAGAAAAATCCTACCATTAATATATTTTTCATGTGCTGAGATACAACTATAATGGATATATAAATACTTAAACAGAATGAAGATGCTCTCTTCTGTAGTGTCTTTCACATAAAGCAGGTTGACTTGTAATCTATCTGATAATATTTAGCACCGAAAGCAACCTTTTCAAGTATTGCCCTGAAGTGTCTTTTGACTGTACATGGAAGTAGTGCTGATGGAGGGTGGGGGTTACTTCTAGTATTGATTTTTGTAACCTTGCTCATTGTCCATCTTTGTATAGTTCCCTAGAGTTTTATATATGGGTCAGTATACTGATGCCAGGATACTTAGACTAATATTGGTATCTAGGCCTATTGCTCCCACTTAGTCACTTTCTTGACTTCCTGTTAAGTATTGTATTGATTGTACAATTGCTTTATTGATTTCTAAGGCATCACATGACCTTGGCATTGCTTAGCTAGTGGATTTATTTTTGTTTGTTGATATTCACGGATGCAGTACTACTTATGTTTAAGGGTACAGAGTTGTGGAACTGTTACTTACTTTGTTCCCTGCTCTTTTGAGTCCACTCTGTTAACACAAGGAACATGATGATTGTTAACATTCCATCTGTATAATGAATGTAACTTTTTAATTGAATATTTAAAATAGTGGGTTTTGTAGCATGGTTTACTTCAGCACTTAGGTGATGCAATAGGGCTTTTAAGGTTTTTGCATTACGAGAAAAAGAAACCTTTTCTTAAAAAAATTCAGCTAAGTTGGTTGGATGCTCTGTGAATGAATGCACTTGAAAGAGAGGCGAAACATATACATGTCACCCTCTTCTTATAACAAGAAAACAGGGTGAATGTTTATTGGGGTGGGGGAAGCCCTGAATATTTCCTAATGCCATGGCTGGTGTTGGCTGACAAAAGCATCTTTCTTGCCAATCTGGTATACTCATTTGAGATTATAAATATACATGCTTCAAATATTTGAAGGACTAAAATTGTTGTGCTTTATAATTATTCTCTACTTTTTTAATTATAAAGGCTATATTAATGGATATATATTAATATAAATATACATGCTTCAAATATTCGAAGGACTAAAATTGTTGTGCTTTAAAATACTGGGAGGAAAGTTAACTGCAAAGCAGATCACCAACAAGTGGCAGAATCTTTGAAACAGAGTGCACCAAGAGATTTCTTGCAGCAATTCATCATGCAGATAACGACTAGGATTTGTCATGTGTGTGCAC